TTGCTTATCTAATTTTATTACTTAATTTGATTGTATTTATTGACTTGATTTTTTTCCATCTACAATTCTCTGAATATGAAGCGTATATTGTTCGCGCGTCGGGCGACAATATGTACATAACTGACTCTGTCTTTTCAGGAGGTTTGTTTAAAATAAATTAACAGAGCCTCGCGAAGTCCAGATACATCGTTGTCAAGGTGGCCACGTAATGAGAGTTCGTCCTGAACATGTATATACATTGATAGGAAACATTAAACTGGTGCTAAAGCCGCTAAGATTCATATACCGCATAAAAATAGATCGCACAAAAAAAAATTCGCACAGAAATAAAATCGCACAAAAGCAAAAGCACATAAAAAAGGACCGCACGAAAAGAGGTTTTACTGTATAAAATGTTTTTATCACTGTTCTTTAAAAATTATTGTGTTCTTTTAAAAAATGAAAGAAAAAGCATAATTTCTGGGGCAAATTATCTTTTAAAATTCTGTGATTTCAGAATTTTTGTTATTTTTTTTATTTTATCAATTTCAAATTCTAGCTGAAGCAAGCTAGTCATCGGCAAATTTTTTTTATTCCAAAATGAGAACAGGAAAATCAGTATTTCTTTCCTTTCTGATGAATCAAAAAAGTATCCTTAGAATATAATTCTGTAGAAGGGAAGAAAAAAATTATTTGCTTTTGTATTTTTTTCAGCTATGTTATTGCTTTCAACTCTTTCTTTACTCTGTTTTTTAAATTTAAAATCTATAAATGCGAAGATGCAGGTTGTTACAGTTTTGGTTATACTTTTCATTTCAATGAATGTTATCATAATACTTTTTTAAATTTATTGTTGTGTTATTGTCGGAGAAAATAGTAATGTCGTTAAGCCATGAAAAATTCTTGGAATTAGTCATGGAAAGTCATGAATTTGAAAATCTAAAATGTAGCAGATATTCTGTAGGTAATGAGCAGATTTAATGAGTTAGTTCGCAGATTACTAAGGTAGTTTGAGAAATAAAATAAAAAAATTGGCACTTGAAACAAATCCCCTCGTTAATCTGCACATTAACTGAATAATTTGTAGAATAATTGGTTTTTATACTTAAGAAGTAATACCATGCTGCAATATTTCTAATCTATTTGTGTCCTTCTGAACTCATTGTATTGTCTTAGTAATATTCCTTTTTTCTTTCTGCTACAGAATAGTGGAGTTGTTGCAAAGGCCAGTCGCCTGTTGCATATGTGCCAATTGAATAGTTCTGTGATAGCTGGAGCTGTTTTTTATAATAGCAGGTATGCAAGTCTGTTTTTTACTAGATATGTAACTGTTCATTTTTGTTATAAGTGAAAGTTTTAAATGAGTGTTAAAATTTAGAAGTAAATTTAGTGCAATGGGTTTTGTGTGGAATTGAAAATAGCTGTTATAAAATTTATTGAGTCCCTATTCTGAATCTCCTAAGATTAAATTAGATTACAAATGCAGATGAAGTTTAAAAATTTCTGTTATTAAAATATATATTTATAAGCCTGTGTTTTTGAATGTTGTAAAAAATATGAGTTGTTATTACTTATCTTTTAAGATGAAAAAAAAACATATTTTAACACAAAAAAAGTTTCCAAAATTAATGTAGAAAACAAAGCTAACAAAAGGGGAATGTTTATAGAAGCAAAATAATGGATGTCCACGCTTCTTTATTGTTTTTCTTTTACCCCATTTTTTTTCTTTTAAATTTTAATGAAATTATGATGAGATAGTGCACTAACCTATTTATTATTTATTCTTTTGATTTTTCTCATGGATCTAATTTTTAATATTACTTTGTATAATTTGACCTAATATATACAGTATACTCTTGATTATCCGTGCTCATTCCGGAGTCACACAAAAAATATAAAGAAAAATATTTTCAAGTTTAGAAAAATTTGATTCATGAAGTTATAACATTACGAAATTTTTTGAAGCAATTTTCGTTATTGGATTGCTGTATATGGAATATCAGCAGCATGGTCAAAGGTAAAATCGTCTACATTATCACGATCACAGCGAAAGATCATACCGCTTGATGAATAATCTTCATCAAATATTCAGGAAAAATATGATAACAGGATTCTTGAACAAGCAATAGGTTAAGCTAAGGTTTCGAAATTCTTGATAAAGAAATTTTAAAAGACTGGTTTCAAAGTGATGCACGCGAGCCTGGGTTCCAGTATTTGACAGATGAAATCGTTTTGTTGTTAAATCAAATAGTGATAATAGTAACTGATGCAGAAGATGTAGTAAATGAGGGAAATACAATTTCTCATTCTGCTTCTCTGTGGAAACTTTATTAGATTACATGAGAGGATTTGATTACGGTGACATTACTGCGGCTCGTAAAATATGTGTATCGATATATAGCGAAGACACATTACACATTTTTTAAAAGGAAAATTACTAGTTTGATGTTAAACAGCATGCAAATGTCACTAATTTGTATATTTTTTGTACTGATATTGATTTTTTCTTTAAAAAAAAGGAAGTTTTCAGATTATTCGTGTTTTTCGATTGTCCGTGCGACCTGTACCGGTGATTAACCCAGATAATCGAGAGTGCACTGTATATGTGTAGAAAGAGATCCAAGTTATTCAGAATTATTATTTTTGTAAGTCCTAAAGTTTGATAGATTATAGACTCAAAATGAAATTATAATTTTACTCACATTGTAAATATTTTTATTATAGCATTTTTTTTAAATATACATTTATTTATATATATTTCTTTTTAAAGATAAGCTTAATACATTATTAGACTTAAAACTAATTAGAATCGTTTTTTTCTTCTTCTTTTTTCTATAATTGTTTTTATTTTGACAAGATACAATTTATTTCATATTTGCAGAATTAATTTGATTTAATAGATTATTAGACAAAAATTAATTTTATATTTCTTGCAATTTTTACATCAGAAAATGTTCTCTTTTATTCATTTCTGTTTATTATTTTTTTCATTTTCAGAGCAATCGCCTCACAGTTTACAGCACAGATGACAAATTATTTATCTTTAATGTCGAATTCCAATGCATCAGTAAGCATCTTAAAACTTTCATAACCTGTTTCTATTTAATTATTTGTGAATGCATCTTATAATCGTGGTTTTTATTTTGTTGAATTTATTCAGAATTGTGTGAATTCTAAATATTTTATTTAAACTGTTTGGGAATTATTAAGAATTGCACTTAACCTCTATTCTGACACTTTAAATTCTACACTTAATTTCCTCCATTCTCTTGCTGCTAAGAGTAGATTCCTTTAGTTGCTTTAGCTCTTACTAGATGATCCAAATACCATTCTTTCAATCCTTGTTGTGAACTGGTTACTGTATTTGCTACATCAGGATAACTGGCTGAGCTATTAATTTTAGGTTAAGAGAGCATGATGGAACAATTTAATTCATCATGTAATGGCGCACATTGGTCGAACCTTGGACATAAATTGACAGGGTTGTCCATTACAACAGAGAACCTTGAAAAGTCATGAAATTTCATTATAATATCCAAAAAAGTCAGGGAAAATGTAGGAATTCGAATTCAAGCTGAAGAATATAGAAAAGAGAAGAAGTGTAGTTCTTGGAATATGTAACTAACCAAATACATTAAATTAGTTTTTAACAGAATTAAATAAAAATTTGTAACAAATGTAGCATCGCAAAAACAATTAAATGAAAAATTGTGGATCTACAGTATTTCCAGGGGTTTGTCCAAACATTTTGTAAAAGGTTCTTTAAAAATTATGGTGTTCTTTTAAAAAATTGAAAGAANAAAAGTCCTGGAAAGTCCTTGAATTTCAATCTCATCATAGAGTGGGAACCCTGTCATAATTTGTGAATATAAAATAAGCGTCAAGTCACATTCTTTCTACCAGGGTCCTGCTTTTGTGAATTTGTGCACATAGGGTCCTGTTATTGCTAAAACCCTTTTCAAGAAGTTTTTAAATTGTAAATAGATACAAGATTATGCTCAACAATTGCTGCTACTAAATTAGAGATGCAACATACAATTATTTGGTATTTCGCCTATACATCTCAACGCAGAATATTCATTTTGGACGAATAATGGAAACAAAATCACTCACATTTTTAATAATTTCAATTAACATCTTTTAAATAACACAGCTTAGTAATGTATCACTTTTAATGTGTTGCTGAACATTAAGTAAACTTAAACAATTCTTAAATTTATAATATTTTATTTAAAAAAATTGCCAGAAATTAATTTTTATTTACATAATATTCTATTAATTAATTTTATGAATAAATATTAAGTGATCAATTATTTATTTACGAAAAAAAAAATATATAATTTAATATCAATTAAAATGTGCACACGATGTTTGTAAAAGTAGAAATATTTTCTTAGAATACTACATTTGGAATTTAAACTTCGGGAAACTTGGAAAGCTTAGTTCGTTTTGAACCGTCTTTCTTTTTTTTCCCAGGAAGGGTTTATTCGATTAACAAAACAATAATGAAGATAAACAAATTTGTGAAGGGTTCGATTAAAAGATAAATTATTTTGTGAAGGGATCATTTTTATGGATAGATATTTTTTGAAAGATCTGTTAACAGACCCAAATTTCTTCTAAACAGGCCCCTGATTTCTGTACTGCAATTTTATTTTTTAAATATTTTTTATGTTTTATTATTTTTTTATTTATTTTGTTTTTGCTGTCTGCAATAGGAAGTTTGTCTGAAATAAAACATTTTGACTGATAAAATCTAATGTCTTTGTTGTTTAAATGATTTAACGACCTTGCATCAAAAATGGTATTTTGTTGCTTAAAATTTAAGCTTCAGCAAGAAAAAAAGTAACCCTCTACCTTAAATTTTTAATTTTAAAGATGTACAGTGACTGAAAAAGTTTCAGAAACAGTGGTTTTAAGAAGGCCAAATTTCAAATACACACGTAGAAATTTAGATAGCATTGATTCAATTTTTCTCTCTTTTTTTTCCAACAGGCACCGGTGAGCAATGTATGCCCTACAGTCTATGACCTACCCCCTGATGTTCAGCTTAAATACATCTTCCTGAGTTCTAAAATGATTTCAAAGATACTGAAGTATAATCACACTGTCGCTGGATCTCGCATCAGAATAAAATCAACTGCAAAAGTGGCTGAAAGGTACAGATCCTTCCTGATGTACCAGGACTGTTTGAGTTCCGGATCGGAAGGTGACGTCGATTCCGGAAACTGCAGCGAGAATTTCCCGAATGCCGACCTGGGCTCGGAAGGGGGGCACCGACATTCCGTGAGGAGATCTAAGTTGTCATGGTCAAGGACTAAAACCTTCTTCATTAGGCGTTCCAACATGGTGTTTTGTTGTACTGGTCATTGGAGGCTGTGGAAGAAAAAATTACTTAGTGGAAGGAATCAGAATTGTCTCAAATTTATTTATGAAGCGAATCCTGATGTGGAAGAGATTGAGACAGAAGACTCTGGAGTCCATCCTATAACTGAGTGGAAAAAAGATCCTAATCTGTTTCACGAATCTGGTTCCACGCGTCAAAGTAATATTTTTCAATTAACATTTGCTGTTTATTTATGCTTTGAAATAATGACTACATATGTAATTGTTGAGCATTATTGATCAATTATCTTTTATAAAGAGTTTAGATAAATTTCTGCTAGTTATTATCCCCGTGGCAAAATTACAGCGACAACGCTGAACGTTACTAAGTTTTTGCAGAAAGATCATTTCATTCGGGAAGGAAAAAATTTTGGTTTTCCTCCTTTCTCAGTGTATCCACGCACCTGGAAAATCATGAATTTCAGTATTGAACAAAATTTGTCATGAAAAGTCATGATTTTTGCTATTTTTTTGAAAAAAATCATGGAAAGTCATGGATTTTGGTTTTCCAGTGTTGCAAGTGCTGCGCCAATTGTGGAAACCTGTGCCTATATGCTTCAAATTGAAGTAGTAGGCTTAAATTGCCCCGATCTGTACCAAAAGGGATATTTTCCCCTGGGTATCGCTAAGTCACAATTTTGCGGCAACCAAGCTACTGCCATGTGATGGGTTGCTCTGGATTCAGTGGGAAGGATTCTTGAACTCTCATGTGCAACTCTGCTTCATTTTGCAAGATATTCTCAATTTCAGGTTTCATTTTCCACTCTCTGAAATAGAACCGAAACTTCCCAGGAATTTTTGGGGACCGACTAAACATTGCCAAAGTTTAATAGCAAAAGAAAATTTTATTTCTCTTGTTTAATTTCATTGTTATTGAAGTGCCATCGTCTTCGTCAATGGCAAGCTTATGGCCTTCTTGCTCTATTTTATTTATAGAATAGTACTCATGATCTTGGAATTAACTTGGGGACCATTCACTAAGTACATATTTTCATGTTGATGCTCAGAGCAGTCAAGAATCACAAAGCTTCATAACCGCAAAATTTCCATCTCCCTTTTATTCATTTAATTTAATAAAGATAAGAATTAATTGAGTTTCTTCAGTGTAAATTTTTATCTGAGGGACCATTCACTAATCGCATATTGTTTTTAAACATTTATTTTACCTTATTACTTTTTTTTTTACTAATATTTTTTTTATACTTATTGCATTCTATTATTGTGTTATTACTTTCAAAATTTTCAGTGCTCTTATCTTGTTTTAGGAAAATACTTAATAATATTTAGAGGCAAGATTTTAAATAAGTATGAATAGAGGGGCTTTCAGAATTTTTAAAGCAACAAAAAAATCTTATGTTTTTCAGATTTGTCATTCAAAAATACTTTCATTCATCTCTTAATGATTTGATTTAAAACAATTGATATAAAAAATTTTTAATTATCACAGATTTTTTAAATATTATGAGTGTAGGGACAATATAATAATTTACTTCTGACAAAAAATTTTTTATCTTCAATACTCATTGAATTTGCATTTAAAAATTATTTTTTTTAATCATTTCATTAATGAAATACTGTGCTGGGTAACCAATTTTTATTTTAAAAAATTAGGGTCCATTCACTAATTTACATTTGTAATATAAATTTATTAAAGTTTGCCTAATTCTTTACATATTTTTATAAATTCCGTATGATCAATATTAATCTTGTTAATGTTATTGAATATACTATTACAAATAACATTTTTTTAAATTTTAAGAAAAATATACTCAGTAACGTTAAATAATAGTTAAATTAGAGTTAATAATTACCTTTTACAGAATTAAATAAAGTAATTATTAATTTTAAAAATGGTATGAGCCACTCAATATTGAATTTATTTAAATTGCTTTTGCCAAAAGCTCTTTTTTAGGTAATATTTTGCCTATATTAAATAAATGTTTACGTTTTTTCCAAACTGAGACACCATTGATTCACTTGCTGTATTATGAAATGATGTCTCTAGTTTAAGCATTGTTAGGGCGTTTTTTAAAAGAGTTCTGCTTTTCTTAGTTTGACAGGAAAGGACTTAAAATCTTTGGACTTAATTCTAGTTGAAGCAAACCAGTCATTGCAAATTTTTTTTTATTCCTAAATGAGAACAGAAAAATCAGGAGTATTTCTTTCCTTTAAGATGAACAAGAAAAGTATCTTTCGAATATAATTCTACAGAAAAAAAATTATTTGCTTTTGTTTTTTTTCTAGCTATTTTATTGTTTCAATTCTTTCTTTACTCTATTTTTTAAATTTGAAATCTATAAATATGAAGATGCAGAGTATAGTTTTGGTTATGCCTTTCATATTCAGAAGTAGAAGAATAAATTCAGAAACTGCGAAAGTTTTAAAGATAGTTCACTCTAGAAATGATGTTCTTTTTTTCATATTTTTGACGGATTTATTATCGTTTAATTTATTTATGAACTTTAATTTTTGTAATGATCCACAAAGATCGAAAGAAGAAATAATTAGTGCATTTTTCCGCCTACAAAAGCGCAGAATATTATTTTATGTTACAATATAAAAAATATTACTTTTACAAATAAAAACTTTTATTCTATATTTTCTTCTGCTAACACAACATTTCTGTTACTTTAAATTAGTAATTGTTATAATTAAAAGTATCTTAAAGAAAAATATTAATACTAGGGAAGTTTGTCACAGAAAGTCCGAAGAAATTCTGCCATGGGGTTATTATATAGTATAAGTAACATGGACATGGCAGTTATCTAATTTTAGAGAGGAGGAGGAATTAAAATACACTGTGCACTAGTTCTCTAAATATCACACATAATAAAATAAATTTCTCAAGCTTGCTAAACATCTGTTAAGATATTAATCTCTTTCTGGTTTTTACCTTTTATGAACTTAAAACGATGATGATTGATGAAAATTTCTCTGTTTGTCAGAAATATTGAGGGGGATTTTTAGAGATTTCTAATCATTGATGGAAGCATACTACTCTCATGACAACCTATATTTATCCAGGCTTCTAAAGCCCACCTCTGCACAGACTCCCAAAGATAGTTTCAGAAGATATTCAAGAGGCACCAGAAAGAAAAAGCTATAAACTCATTTATTTAACAATAGTAAACATAACTAAGGAAAATCAAATTTTAATAACATCATGAAATACATTTTACAACTTCATTAAAAAAATACTGTAGCATTACACAGTATCAAGAATAAAAAGAGAACAAATTACACAGTTTGTGTAACACATAAATATCTGTTGAAGTATTTCCCAAGCATCTAGAATACTATAGGATTCTGAAGCCAGGTGACTACTACCATCCAAAGGAAACCAGTTCTTTCTCAGTTCAGTTGCGAAAAGCACTGTTTCGGGCAGATGATATGTTATTTCTTTGTATCAACATACTAAATGAGGATCGTGGTTCAAGTCGCTATATGTAACCCCACTGTCTTTTAGTGTGCAGGCCATCTATTCACCCAAAAAGGTGCAACGTGGTGCGTAGAGTTTTAAAAAAGTTCTTAAAGGTGCTTATTTTCGATTGTTGGTTTTCCCTTTTCGAAAATGAGAAATTTTTTGTTTACCATATCAATTTCCGGCACGTATTATGCAAAAGCGTGCTTTTCACATTGTTCTATTCAATGTTTGCACAATTCATTCAACTATAAGCCCATTTCGCCCTACCGTCGGCCCATAGAGTATGAAAACGCCTATCATTTTACATGCTTGATTAAATACTTGCAAGTCTGCGTTTGTGTCTACTGAGCTGAGTACAGCAAGTTTCTTGCACTCTCATGTGCAACTCAGCTTCATTTTTACAAGATATTCTCAATTTCAAGCTTCATTTTCCACCCTCTAAAATCGAACCGAAAAATCTCTCGATTTTTTTATGGTGGCTAATATAATCTAGAAAAGAGTTCTTTCTCAGAAACTAGTTATTTTATCATGATCATGTAAAGTCTTTGAAAATTATTTTGCATTTTGTTTATGTATATAGTGCTTAAAAATATTTTTTGAGTCCTTAAGAAGTAGGTACTTAAAGGTACTTTTTTGTTGTTGAAAGATTTGGCTATGCACCCGGAAGAATTTTGGCTAGACTACTGGGGGCAATTGACATATCTGATCTACGGAATATTGCAATTGCTAGCAAAAAATGTTTCCTTAATTTTCATTTTCTAATAAGCTGTAAATTTTTTTCATTATAAGAACTGTTTAATATTTTAAATAATTTTATTTTAGGTATCAGTATGGTATGCCACAACCATGCTAATTTACAAGCCTCAAGTTTTACTTCAAAGCAGAAAGAAAAACACACTAATTTCAAAGCTGCTTGTGACTTAGAGTTTAGTTGTTTGCTCTGTGCAGACAAAACCACCTCCTTAAACTCCTCGTCTTTGAAACAGTGGAATTCGGAACAGGACCTAACATGTTCCACACTTTCTAAAAACTTCAGTTATTCCACTTTAAAACATTTGAATTATCACTCCACTCTGATGCCTGATAAACAGAAAAAAATTAATAATTTTAAGAAAACTAAGATACAGGTGTTAAAATGCCGTTCAAGCAATGATACGCCACATTCTCTTAGAACTAAACACCTGTCAGGTGTATTTCTTCCTAAAAAAAGAATCACCGATTCAAGCTGTTCGACAGAGAATCAGAACAACTACCTCAAAGACTCACTCGAACCGTATGCAGAAATTGAATCCAATGATTTGCAAAGATTTGTATTGTATGTGCAGAAATATGGTGCGAGCACTTTGCTTTTACTTCTTAGGAAAGGATATGATGAAAAGATAATGTCACATTTGGTAAAATAAACATTTTTATTGTTTTTTTCCTTTATAGGGCATTACTGGTTTATATTTATTTTGCAATTTTCTAGCTTTTAAATTTTTTTAATAGTATTTTTCATTGTAAGAGCATTTTGCTTATATTTTTTTTTCTTGTTGAGTTTTGTAATTTTAATTATCTAATAACTAGTGTTGAACAGGGTGCATAGCATTCTTAAAAAGTGCTTAAGGGTGCTTATTTTTGATTTACGTTCTTTAAATGCCCTTAAAGGTGCTTTTTTTATTTGGGGATCGTAAAAAGTGCTTAATTTTCTATCTTTTAAAAACAGATTTTTTGTTTGACATATGGATTGTCGTTCTAAATTACAAAAAATGCATGATTCTCGCAATTTTCTCTGCATTATTTATCAGAAACTAGCTATTTTATGAAGAATATGTAAAGTTTTTGAAAATGTTTTTGAATTTTATTGATTTTATGTTTATAAATTGTAACTTTAAACGATAGAAAAGTTAATTTATATTACTGGACTGATCCTATTTATGATTTTTGTTTTTGGAAAGTGATTAAAAGTATTTTTTGAGTGCTTAAAAAATGCTTAAAAGGTGCTTAATTTATGTTGGAAAATCTGGCTATGCACCCTGGTTGAAGTTTGACAAAGTTTTTCAACTCATAAGTATTTGCTTTTGAACAATAGGCAATCTTTTAATTCGAAGAACATCAAAAAACATTTACAGTGCAATTCTGATGTTCTAGAAGATTGTCACAAAATATTATAAATTCCTATTTATCTTTATCAGTTCTTTACTTCATTTTATTTTATTCATGAATTGCATTTATTGAATTATTTTATTGAATTTATAAATATGAGTTACAATTTTTAGTTTTTTTTCTCTTATAAAAAAGCCTATATGAAATTTATTTTCCAAAATATTTAAGGATGTCATTTTTAATGTCATTTTTTATAAAATTTAAATGCTTTTTTCTTTGCAGCAACATCCTATCTCTGCTTATTTTTTTTTAGCCCTTTATCTACTGATAGTACGTATAGGTACCAATCACTTTAAACTAATTAATTGAAGTGGTACTTTTAAGTACCACTTTAATTAATTTGTTCTAACATATTAAATTTCGCACCGGGGAGAATTTTTTTCTAGTATATTCTTTAATTATCAATATGGCAGCTAAAAAAAAATATATATTTATGAAAAAATTTTCAATAGTTAATAATTCAGTAGATGAAGGGTTAAGTAATACTGGTAGTTATTGTTAAATCAGTATTATTGAAATAGTCACTCTGTCACTTTTAGTAGTTATAGTAAAATGCGCACACTTTAAATTTACCTTTTTAGTAAAGTGGTATTTTGTTCAGATGGAACCTATTTTTTCCAGGACACAATTAAAAAAAAACAAAGAAACTGGAAGAAATGAACGAAACTAAAAATGTTTAGAGTATTTTAAGCTTCATTTAAATTTTAAAAAGTTCATATGTTGCCAGAAAATTTTAAAATGTGTGTTAAAATTAATGTAAATGTGTGTATCCAGAAAATTGCAAGTATGTGTTTTACACACAATTTTTTTTAAAAAATAACTATTATAAAAAATATATATTTTGTTTTTACAGAATTTTAAAATCTATATACCATATTATTAATAGTTCATTTGAGTATTAATACTTAATAGTTCATTCATAATTGGTTGTAAAAATTAGTGTACTATTTGTAATTGTGAATTTAATTTGTCATCTGTTGTACTGTATGTCCTTAATATGTGATTTTGTTAATTTAATTGACTAAGCAAAATTTAATAATAATATTTTAACAGTTCCATTTACAACTATAAACTTAGTTTTTACTGTACTCTTTTATGTAATTTCTTAAGAAATAATAATAGTTATTTTTATTTCTTAAGAAATTCCTTTAATTTTTTTTCCAAGTCGCTCCTTTTCAGTTTTCTCTTATTTATAAAAGATATATTAAATAATTTGGAAATTAAAACTATTTTTTTTAACTCTACTGCAATTATGAACTGTTTAAAAATTGTTTTAATATTCAATGTTTCTTTTTAAGAAGAATTTGCCATTTAGGTTAGAAAAACTTATTTCTCCTAGGTCAGATTTTTTCCACTGTGGTAGAACTGTTACGTTTTATCCATAATTTTTATGATTTCATAGTCACGATTACTGTCCTATGATTGAGTTATAGAAATTATGGTTTTTTTAAAGACTTTCCATAATAATCTGTTTAAAATAAGTTATTTTCTACTCAACTAACAAGAGCTATGACATTTTTTTGCAATTAATCTATGATAATTTTTTCCTACTCCTTAAACAATTCTAAAAACAATAATACAAAAACAAATATGATTTTATCGAGACAAGAAATAAAAAAAGCAAAAAAATCTTATCTTTCTCCTTTCCAGTAAGTAATTCTGAAACTTAATCTTTTCTCATTTAAAGTAAAGCAAAAGAACATAAACTTAAATCTGAAATGCTTTAAGCAAACATTTTTAGTGGTTTGAATGCAGACTTGGACTTGAAAAAAAAGCAATAATTGCCTTCTTATTTTAACCAAAAAATAGAACATTGATTTCATGTGATGAATTTAATTTTATAATGAAGTATAAAATTTCAGTGTTGTATAATTTTTAATTTTGTACTTTTTTCTAAGTTTTTAAATAGTGAATTCATGTATAGTTTTATTAACAGTATATACCTACATAGAATTAAGTAGTATAATGCACACAGAAAAATTATTCTGAATAACTTTTGTTGTAATGATACTGACAAAGGAAACTAGGGAAGTGTGACTCGCCAATTTTGAAATAAACTAGTGGGACGTATGCCTTATGAGGAATAATTTTAGGGGGCAACATTCGTTTCGGCCCATAGAAGGTCCTATGAGAGATNCTGCATTGAAGTAATAAAATACCGATTTTTCTATACATTGAATTATTTTTTATCTCTCACAGGACCTTCTATGGGCCGAAACGAATGTTGCCCCCTAAAATTATTCCTGATAAGGCATACATCCCACTAATTTATTTAAAAATTGGCGAGTCACACTGCCCTTGTGAGTGTCAATTTTAATGGTTCCTAGGGGCGACCTCAAATATGCTAATTATTTAGCTGTAGCTATTAATTATTAAAGTTACAAAATTGGACCCAAAAACATACTTTTTCTGAATAAACATATACTTTTTTTCATATTTGGATTCTTAACCTTCAAAATATAAGGGGTGGCTGCAATCTGGGAAATATGGTCTCCATAGTTAGGTCAGGAGAGCAATCCAAAGTTCTGACCCCTTAATGTTAATTTCACTTTCTGTGTTTTTATTCATATTTTTGAAACTAATTGAGCAATAAAAATATATATACATTTAAATTGATTTGTGAATGTAAATGTAATAAAATACATTTATCTTCTTAATTTTGCTGCCACTATTATAGTTTCTGATGGACCTTCTGCTTAAAAGGAGACTATTGTATCAGATATATGTATGTAATGCTGATAAGAATCCTAAAATAAGTTTGAAATAGAAAGAATGAAGCAAAGAAATTATTGCAGCAATATTTGGTGATCATAACTGTTGAGCATGCAGAACATCAGGATGCTATTTGCAAATTAGCTTTATCTTAAGATAACCACATAACTCACATATTTGCTAGAGAGATGCGATTTCTTAAAAAATGAATCATACAATATTCTTAAACAGACATATTTCAATCATTTTAAATTTGAATTTTATATAAAACTTGGTTTTAGTACAAAATCATCATATTTAAAAAATTTAAACACAACTTAAACAATATATAAATTTTTAAAAAAAATTCTTGTAATCAAATACAGAAACTTAGAAAATTATAAAAAATTTATAAATCTATTCGAATTTTATTTTTAAAGGAGATGAAAATAATCTTTGAAAACAATCTTCTGCAAAAGTAATCTTTACTTTTTGGACAGAAGTCAACTAAAAACAAATCTGTAGCCTAGGAACTTCAAAATATATTTCTATTAACTCTTTAACAAGATTTTTAAGAAAAAAACTTTTTCAATCCGAGCTAACACAAAAACGACTAATAGTTTCAGTTTTTATTTCATTCTTTTTTATTCTCAAAGCTTGGTTGCTTAGCAATGGAGTATTTCTCTCTTGTCGATTACGCAGTTAGAGTATGGTTATATTTAGTTTCTCATGTTCTTGGTTTTTTTAGACCAAATATATATAACTTCCTAGCACACCAATTTTTAATCCAATTTTTCCGAAATTTTGTTCACTCTCCCTATTTTGAGGGTCAGAAATCCAAATATGTAAAAAAAAAAGGTATGTTTATTCAGAGAAAGTGCTTTCTTGTGTCTGATTTTGTAACTTAATTAATAGTTAGCACTAATTAATTAGCTCATTTGAAATTACCCCCAGAAACCACTTAGTACTGCCGTCCAATTGAAGAAACAGTTAAAGTTCCAAGAGAAGTGGATAGACACATTTTCTCCTTTTGTTGCTAATGCTGTGAATACTAAAATAGAATTTCAAAAAACTGATAAAACAAAATTTATTTTTAAAAATTCTTTTTTTGCAGTATATAGCTTACCATATAGAGATGCCAAATACCAAATAATCAAAATATTTAATTTTTTGTCGTTTACATTGATTTTTCAATTGCATAGCAGAGTACGTGAAAATGCCATGATTTGAACAAAAGTTATTCAGGGTGATATCTTCTTTTTTATGCGCAATGAGTTACAGACAGCCCTAACCTTTTTCTTTCTTTTTTTTAAAGAAATTTTTTAACTAAATCCAATAACTAAAAAAAAATTATTATTTCTCTTGATCCTTTGTACCCCTTTAACTAACTATTGTTCCCTTTTCTTTTTAATTTTGAATTTAAAATTTATACTAATATCCACTTCCTTGTCACATTCTGGTGGTGTGAGATGGCTTCCTGCAAGGAAAGCCCAATGAGTTACAGGCAGCCCTAACCTTTTACTTCCTTTTTTTTTCTTCTTAAACTGTGCTAATTTGAATTACGTAAATGCTATCTGTTTATGTTTCTGTGTTATTGTATTTCTTACCTAAAGCTGTACTGTTGGTAGTTGAATTCTGATTTGTTATGATGATTTGTTGTTTCAGTGGAACTGCGGCTTCAGCATCCTTCGAGACATAGAATACAGTTCTGAGAAAATCTCTCAGGATAATTCCTATGACATGGATTCTTCTTTTTATATGCTACTTTATAACAGTTCACAAAAAGTATTAAAAGGTATGAATTTATTTTAGTTAAATTTACAATCAATATTATTTCATTCTACTATTCATTAAAAATCTATGTCTATATTTCATACATGTTGTTATAGATGTAATTGGTTACATTGTTTATGACAGTAGTTTGTGTGACAAATGTAAAATTTTTTGCGAAATCAATCAAAAGTGCCTACAATTCTTGCATATGTAACGGAAATTGTAATATTTTCTGTTAAATGAATCTAAAATGCATATTTACAGGGTGTCCATGCACCTGGAAAGTCATGAATTTCAGTATTGATCAAAATTTGTCATGAAATGTCATACTTTTAACTATATTTTAAATAATATCATGGAAAGTCATGAATTTAGGTCGCCGAAAAATCTAATTTTTAAAATGGAACCCCCCCCCCCACCTTNTACCCCCCCCCCCCAATTTCATGGTGTTCCAAATATCTGAATTTCTAACAAAATCCCCACAGACAGTCATATTTTATTAAAATATAAAAGGTTTTTATCATGTTCTGAAAAATTTGGTGTTCTTTTAAAAAATGAAAGACAGAACATCATTTCTAGAGCAAATTATCTTTTAAACTTCAGTGATTTCAGAATTTTTATTTTTTATTTTCTCAATTTAAAATTCAAGCTGAAGCAAACCAGTCAGTGGCAAATTTTTTTTATTTTGAAATGAGAACAGAAAAATCAGGAGTATTTTTTTCCTTTCCGATGAACAAGAAAAGTATCTTTAGAATGTAATTATGCAGAAAGAAAGAAAGAAAAATTATTTACTTCATTTTTTTCATCTTCTTTATTGCTTCAACTCATTCTTTAGTCTTTTTTTAAAATCCATAAATATGAAGAGGCAGAGTGTAACAGTTTTGGTAATACCTATCATTTCAATTAATGCTATTATAATGTTTTTTTAAATTTATTGCTGTGTTTTTGTCGGCGAAAATAGTAACTTCGTGAAGTCATGAAAAATTCTTGGAATTAGTCATGAACTTGAAAATCTGAAATGTAGCAGATTGTATTTAATCACAAGTGTTTGGTAATCCCTGCACTAGGGATTTTTATAGTCAGGAGTCTGCCTGTTATTCCCTACTGTTTCCTAAGGTAAAGGGCTATAATATGACATTTCCTTCACTGATGTTTTATTAAGGTTAATGGCAAATGTCTGTCATTCCACGTGCTAATATATTATTATAGTTAAGCTGGCTTACACTTGCTTGATATTCCTTTTACTAATGTTTTTCTAAATGGTATATTATTAAAATCCCTACCTTTGCTGTTAATTTACTTACCCCTACTCACTGGAAAATGTTGACATTTGTCATATTTTGTACCTTCATGGTACCATATGTATAAAAAAAATCAATCCCTCAGCAGGCCATTGTGAGCCAAGAGGTGAAAGCTCGACAACTTCGTACTCAACTACACAATTTTCTGGCCGATGTCACTACACAATTCAGTAATTACCATATTTTGTTCTTTCTCAGTAACATGGGAAAAATTTAAAACCTGTTGAAGTTTTCAACTTTTCATGATACTGCCTCTTTAACAAGCAAATAAAATTTAAATGATAATTAAAAAAAAATAATATTGTTAAATTTATTTATTTTCAGAATACCCTCACCATCAGTCTGACAGGGCTATAGATAAACATGCTCGAAGTTCCATGCAAGCTATCCATGCTGATTTTCAAACAAATTTTAACATTCGAGAATTTCATCTCTTGTAAGTTTCTGTTTTTGTCAAATTGTCTTTAAAATGTATTATCTTTGTATGAGGTAAACCTTTTTATATAGATCTATCCCTTGAATTGTAATTGTGTACAGTTTCAGGGTTTGTAATAGAACATGAAATTTTATCAATCTGTAACAGTCAGTCAAGGAATTTGACTAAAATTCCTAAATTAATTTAAGTTTCTTAAATAGTCCCTTAATTTTTCCCAAAGAATTTGATCTTGCAATATTTGTTACAGGATTTTTCAATTCTAACAGCAAGTATAAGTGTTTTGTAATATATTGTGTATAAAAGTAAAGCATAACTGAAAGTTTAACGAAAATATTTTGTGCTACCAGTTATAAAAATTTGATTAGACCAAAGGGGGAAAAAAAACAGATTTTTTCTCAATCTTTGTGGCCATCATGAGATTTGTCAAGAGTATGCTTTGAAACTTCTATTTTTTTAGAGAAAAAGAAACCTTTAAAAAAATATGCTAGACGTTCAAATTAATTTCTATCTGATTCTAACATTTAGGGAATGCATTTTTTATTAGCATTCATTTAAAGTTCTAGAAAATTGAATTAAAAGTATAAAAGATGAAAAATGGACAAGATGTTCATTATTTCAAATTTAATATTATAAATTTTATTATAACAAAACAATTGTTCAGGTAGCTTATTAACCACAGCAGACCCCTGAACAAGTCTATCTGCAGGACTCCTTGGTAACCCACGCGACGGGTCATGTGGTATAAAAAAAATCAGTAATTTTACTATTCATATGAAGATAAGAGAAACCTGAAATGAAATAACTTAGTACATGACATGAAAAGCAAACCATTATGGGACCAGGGCCAGAAACTCCAAAAACAAAATATACTTATAAATTATATAAGCATAACAAAATATACTTATATAATTTAAAAAATACAAATTTGAGTTTATGAAGTTAATGTTTAATGTTATTTTACCGTCCATTTTTCAAAATTTATTAGAAATTTGTGTTTGGTTTCAAATTTAATATTAACTCTTTAATAGTAATCTGCATGGAAGTGGAATTAACGGATTGAATATGCAGCACTATTTTCATAAATCGAAATTTCTCCACCCTGCAGTGCCTAGAACCTTGCTAGAGGGTTTTTGCTGTTGTTATTCAAAGGGTTTTTAAACAAAGTAGAGTTGGATTTATGTAAAATATGAGAATCTTGTCTTAAGGGATGAGGGTGCTCATACCCTTTACTACTCTATAACTGTAAAGCTGTTGGAAGAGCACATATTACTCTTAAATAAATTTTTAAAAAGTACTGTTAGTAGTTTTTATTTATTTAAAGAAATGATTACTGATTTTGGATCAAAAACTTATATGCAAATAAACGGGAAAAAGTTTTTAAGTAGAGTTGGATGTATGCAAGATATGAGTATCTTGTCCTATGGCATGAGAGTGCTCATACTCCTTACTACTCCATGCCTGTGTAAAGTTGATTTTCAAGCTGTTGTGATATGTTACTCAAATATAAATTTCAAAAAAGTGCTAGTAGTAACTCTTATATGTTTAATAAAAATTACTGATTTTTAATTAAAACTTATATGCAGAATAAGTTTTCCTTTTAACTTTTTTTTTAAATACAAATATAATTAGCCTTTTTTTCAGTCATAAGTTGTTTTTGAAATCAAATTAATAGGATATAAAATATGCCTGAAACACTAAATTGTATTATTGACACAACTATGTTTTAGATTTTCAGGGATTAATCAAATAAATTTAATTTGTGTTGTATCAGAAGTTGTTTTATTGTCTAATTCAAATTTAAAATTTATAGCTAGTATCTTTTCTCGGTTGTTTGATTTGGTATCAAGAGATTCATTGTCTTTAACTTTTGTATGAATTCATGTTCTGTTGTATGTGCTTCAGAAATAGAGTTCAATCTCTTAAATTTTTCAATACTAATTTGTACCTTCAATATTATGAGTTAAGAATTCAATATTATTGACCATTGAAATGCTCCTTATCGTGTGTGGGAGCAATCAGTTTATGAGGACTTTATGTAATGACTAAAAGGCCTATTAGAAACCCAATCATGATTTGGAAAAATAGAAAAGTGAAAAGATTGTCAGTGAGCTTTTTATTCTTGACATAGCTTGAAATGCATAGCTAAAGAAATAGACTGCTCAAAATGTGTATTTGCAACAAAAGTGAGCACAGCTTTTAAAAAAAAAATATCTTTTTTAATGTTCAATTTAAATTTAACATCTAAGTAAAGAATTTTGCATTAACTTTGTCTTATTGTGTTAAACACTAGCACAATTGTTAGGTCTTGTGGCAACTTATTAAAATCAACTATTGACAGGGTGCGTAGCGTTTTTAAAAAGTGCTTAAAGGTGCTTATTTTTAATTAACATGTTTTTTTTTATTCGGTGTTTGTAAAAAGTGCTTAATTTACTCTCTTTTAAAAAGAGACTTTTTTTCGCTGCTTTGATTGTTGTCATAAATTACAAAAATGCATGATTTCCACAATTTTCTCGACTTACTTCGCATGCAATTGTCTGTAACCTATTACTATCGCGTGAAATCCTGCAAATCTCACCCTCTAAAACATGATGTCTTTCCATCAAGCTTAGGACAATTGTATGACGCTAAACCTTCATATGTCCGTCCATTTCATGCTCGTGTGCGCTCTCTCATACGAACTTTTGACAAGTGTGACATGCCAACACAATCAATAGATCACCTTCTCATACCACCATGGATCATCGCACAATATCAGTTTTATTCCCTTTTTAAGTTGTACAGCAAATCTAATGTTGCATCCATCATTTATCAACAAATATTCAATTCTCATCGTCACCAATATTTTGAGTATGTGCCTGTATATACTGACGGATCAAAATCGGCGGGATACGTAGGCTGTGGTGTTATCATCGCTGATGATACTTATAGCTACAAGATCCCAGATATTTGTTCCATCTTCACTGTGGAAGCTGTTGCCATCCTTTTGGCATTGCGGCTGATTTCTTCACGCTCCTAACGAAAGTATTTTATATACTGCGATAGTAGAGCGTTTTGAATCAGTTAGAAAATTTTCGCAGCGATACTCACCCAGTTTCATGCTGCATCAATCATATATTAATCGCTCTTCACAAGAAAGGATTTGATATTTCATTTTGCTGGATACCGAGTCACGTCGGTATCCCAGGGAATGAGTTGGCGGATTCTGCAGCACGATCTGCAACTTCTGAACTAACAATATCTGTACCATTCTCAGACATTAAACTACATGTTCGGCAGCTCATGTCGTCCCTTTGGCAACAGCATTGGGACCTTCAAACTCAAAATAAACTTCATAAAATCAAACCATATATAGACCCCTTACCTGTATTACGTTTACGTAATGCAGATGTAAAGCTTAATCGTCTCAGAATCGGCCACACTCGACTCACGCATCTTCATCTGTTGTTTGGAGAATCTCCTCCCAAATGCGACTCTTGCAATACTTTACTTACGGTTCATCACATTTTAACCATTGCCCTTGATTTAACCAACATCGTCTTATCTTTTTTAATAGCACGATTTTATGTATGAAGGATTTGTTAGATGATATCCATCATCCTAAATTTTTCGCATTTCTGCGAGCTATTGGTATTTTACATTGTATATAACTGTTTTATCTGATTTTATTCACTCTTATTCCCTAACCATGAACCGTTTTACCTTTTCTGTGTATTTTATAGAATTACGCTTTTTATTGATTTTATGAACTTTTGAAAATACGTGTCTTGAGGTAAACTATTTTATTAGTTTCATTTATTTTATAACAATGAATCTATTGTGTGCAATTTACCATTAAATCTAACTCAACAAATTGTTTGGCGCAGCATATCCTCCTTTGGATCTTGTGCCATAAAACTTCTACATTCAATCCAATCCATTCCACAATTTTCTCTGCCTTATTTATCAAAAACTAGTTATTTTATCATAATTATGTAAAATTTTTGAAAATGTTTTTGAATTTTCTTGATTTTTTGTTTATAAATTAAAAACTTTAAAAGATAGGAAAAAATATTTTTTATTACTGCACAGATCTCATTATGATTTTTTTTGGAAAGTGATTAAAAATATTTTTTGAGTGCTTAAAAAGTGCTTATTTTTTGTTGAAAAATCTGGCTGATCTAATTGACTTCTAAAATCTTTTATGAAATAGATTACATAAAAAATTATAAAGTGATTTATGTAAATTTATGCCAAGACATTGCAAATTTATTTGAATTCATTAGTTTATTCTATGTTTTCTTAAAAGAAGAAATACTTGTAAGAAAAGTTTGCTAAACAGAATTGAATGTTTATGTTCATTTTTTTAAATATGCATTTCGAGCTGTATCCAGAATAAAAAGCTCGCCTACGATATTTTTTAAAAAGATAGTATTTCATTGGTCAGATGTTAATTAATTTTGAAACTTGTTTAGGTCTGCCTATCAGAGCATCCATGCCTCCCACAAGGACCCCAATATCACATTCTACGCCCAACCAGAATGCAATTCCAGGAAAGTGGATTCTCTCATGCATTTAAACAGGAGATCTAAAAGGAGATTGGAGAAAATATTTAAAATATCTCTGTGATGCTTTCCGCAGGATTTAGAGTAGAAGAAAAAATTTGCTTGCCTTAGACTCCAGTTTGCTAAAAGTTAGGTCTATCTTATCATCATATTTATAACAGTCCAAAGTGGGCCAAGGTCTTCTACTGAAATATGCAAATGGACAACCTATTTTTTGACCTGTACTGCCAGTATTTTGCCACGATTTCAAATCCGATTCCACCGAGTCATCAATCTTTTGGTTATCTTTTTTCCAAAAATTTAAGTCTTTCTGAATTAAAAAAAAAATTATTTAGGCAAATATTTATAATTATGTGAACTAAAATCCTACTTAAGTGAATTCAATGGGAATTATTTAAATTGTTGCTTATCACATAATTTATTCACAATATTGATTATTATTATGTACAGTGTACAAAAAAAACAGATCACCCTGTATAACTTTTGTTCTAATGATAGGATTTTCACGTTCTAGGACTCAAACTTAATGGCTCGAGAGGGTAGCCTCAAATATACTAATTAATAAGAGCAGACGATATTTTAAGTTACGAAATAAAACACAAAAACGTACTTTCTCTGAATAAACATACCATTTTTTTTTAATGGATTCAGATTTCTGAACCCCAAAATATAGCAAGTAGCCGCAATCTCGGAAATATGGTCAAAATAATTTGGTCTAGAGAGTGGTCCAAAGTTTTGACCCCTTAATGTTAATTTTACTTTTTGCTTATTCGCTATACCTTTTGTGTCTGATTTCGTAACTGAAAATATCATCTGCACTTATTAATTAGCATATATGAGACCATCCCCTTAAACAATTATGAATCCTAAAACGTGAACACCCCATCCTTAAATCAAAAGTTAGTCAGGGTGGTCCATTTTCTTTTGTGTACAGTACATTATATATATATATATATGTATAGATAGCACAAAATAAATTAAAAGAGAGAAAATTAATAACTTTTATTTACCGTGCATAAGCTGCAAGTATATCAAATTCATTAAATAAGTTCAAAAACTTGAGGAAACATGGAAACAATTACAGAATAATGGAAAGCGAAGAAGAAAATTAAAATAATTTTTTTTTAAAAAGTAAACTTTTTTAATAAAAATCCTGTAAAAAAAAGAGAATTTTATTTTAATAATTTTCTTCTCTTTTCATCATTCTATAATTTTTTTCATCATTTTGAACTTATATATATATATATTATGTAAGAATATAAAATTTAATTTTAAATTATACACCTTGTCTTTCAAAAATTCCTTGCCATATATAAAAAAAACTTATTTTAAGTAAACAGTTACATAGTATTAATATTGTGATGAAACTTTTAATAGAGCAGTGGTCAGAAAAGTCTGTGGTTAGATTTCAGTTACCGACTCCAATGGTCTGGTTAATATTTTGTTGTTTTTTCTTTCAGTATTGGATTGAAAACTATTTAGTGAGCTCTCTAAATGTGATTATTTATGCTTTACAGTGCTATTTGAAAAAAAACGGTGATATTTGTTGAAATAAATTAAACGGTGAAATAAACTTATTTTTATATTTTAATGGTATCAATGTTTATTTGAATTACATCAATTTTTAATTGTAGAAGCCACATTTTAGCTCCCTTGTATACAGTAAAACCTCGTTTGCAATAATATTTCGAGGGTCGCATAAATATATTGTGGTCGAGGGATATGTCAAAGTCCAACACATTTTGGAAACGCAATATATTTTTCTTTGAATTCTAATGTTATACAAGTACAATTTAAAAATGTACTACTTACTTACAAATGAATTATATAACACATTAATTTGCAATAACAAAAATGTAATGCAATGGGATTAAAATGTGACATCTATGACTTCTGGAAGATAATGAAGGTTTTTCTGAGGAAAAAAAAGCGCTTTGGCTGTACATAGATTGTTATAAAAAATATATTCAATATGTTTTTCTTTAAATTCTAATGTTATATAAGTACAATTTAAAAATGTACTGCATGCTTACAAATGGGTACAACATTTACTGCATGCTTACATTATTGCAAGAGTACTCTTATATATTTTTCTTAATTCTGTTTTTTTCCGTCAGTTTCAGTTGATAACACAATTTGATCATCAGATAACTTTCAGAAGTATGTAAGGTACACGTGTTTCTATTTCTTATGCTATTAAACCTTATTTTAACAATATTTCAAAGGGAACTTTCTTTTTGGGCATATTTTAAACTGACTTTACAATATCTGATGAAACTGAATATTTTTCTTATTATAAGGAATTGTGTGAACTACCGATAGATAGCTTTTATAAAAAGCTGAATTTATCTATACCGCAGGCTTAATTGCTTAATTCCATTAATCAAAATAGTCAGATTTTACAGGAAACATTTTTTAATCTATTTTATCAATAAACCTAAGAAAATCAAGATTTCTCATTATAGGGATTAAAAAGTTAATATCATTCTCCAATCTGTTTTTATCAATAAACTTAAGAATAGAGGGGTTTTTTTTAAGAAATTTTTCATGTGACTACTTAATAATTCCTTCGCTGTCAAATAGGTAAAGGTTTTAAGTTTAGTTATTTTAAAATTAAGAAACTTTCACTGATATATATATATATAGTATTAATA